GGCGACAATCATATTTTCATTAAAGGAATGAAACACATTTGTGTGTGTTCCTGTTGATACAAATGTGTGAGTAGGAATAAACTGTATGTGTGTGTGTTTTATGGGTGGCTGAATGGTTATTTTATTTCTCTGGAGTATTTATTTATCATCTTTATTTTATGTTTTATAGAAAAGCACTTGTGTTCCTGTGTCAGAAATGTGCTCTAAAATTGAAATGGACTTGATTTGACAGGATACTCATAGACACGTCTGCTATTTGTGTCTGTTTGTCCATCTTTAGACGTTTGCAGTTTGTGAGAGTTTGTGTGACTGGGGCGAGACGCTGTGCTCCGCCTGTCCCAACCCGACAACCGTCATCACTGCAGGAACCAGCGCTGTAGTCTGTGTGTGGGACGTGGCCGTCACCAAGGACAAACTCACTCACATGAAGCTCAGACAGGTTGGTCCGTTTGTATGTTTATCTGCTCTAGAGATTCAACAGTCGTATCCACAGTGTATTTGCACACATACTGTACACGCTCTGACACTAATACTCCCCTGCTGTTCTTCGTAGCCATTGTATGGTCACACAGATGCAGTGACGTGCCTGGCAGTGTCTGAGATCCACAGCATCATAGTGAGCGGCTCCCGTGACCTCACCTGTATCCTGTGGGACATGGAAGAACTAAGTTACATCACCCAGTTAGCAGGACACACAACCAGTGTCTCTGCTCTGGCTATCAATGAACTCACAGTAAGTCCACCTTCATGATCTCCTTCAAATTCTCTTCTCTGTTTTTTCTGTCTCCCTTCTATCCTTTTGAATTATTCACCTCACCGTCATCATGCTGTTCCCGTCCACTCACAGCACGAGGAAGGGAGGATTCTCACTGTTGACAGCGTGCATCCTCTCTTTTTTTTTTTGTGCATCCCTGTGTATATCTGTGCACACATGAGCTTCAGCACCGTGTTACTCTGTCCAAAGGGTGAGATCCTGTCATGTGCGGGACCTCAGCTCTACCTGTGGACTATGAAGGGCCAGCTGCTGACGTGCACTGAAGCTTCCTGCGGGCCTCAGGCAGACATCCTGTGTGTCAGCTTCACGCAGAGACACGAGTGGGATGTCAGGAACGTCATCGTCACAGGCTGTGCAGATGGCATTATACGGGTGAGTTTTTTTATGAGCAGGTAATAATTTGATAGTTATTAGCTGAGTGCGTGACAGAAACAGAGAATGCCTTTCCTAAAGTTATTTTAGGGCAGCTCATTGTAGGTACAAATGGATCAGTTGGAGAGTTTCAGTATTGTTTTTCTACAGTGGACTGTACTCTATTCAACTGTAGCAGTTATTACTTTGGTATTAGCCTCGCAGGTACCAGCTTGGATGTCCATCAAGATATTAATAACAGCATATGGGTTGTATATATGGTGTGTGACTGTTTTGCTTAGAATTAATACAAGCATATGCTGCCTCTCTGCAATCAAAGCTGCAAACTCTAAATTGTGCTTCACTTGGGAGTGGGTGCCCCTGCCACGTGCACAACACACACACACACACACGCACACACACAAATGGTATCATTACTTTATTATTACATTGAGTGTGTGGCGTGTGCGCCGGCGCGTATGCGAGTGTGTTTGTTATTATGTTGAATTATGTCTCTGATTTTGCTACTCGTTATGTGTCTCTCATACAGATATGGAGGACAGAGTACACCAGAACACAATTACCTGGCCCTCCAGAAGAGCCCGTGTCCCCGGGGCAAGATCGAGCAGAGAGAGATGGTAATGTTACTGGCAGTAGGATAGGATATACATGTAGGTGTTGTATTTATAACAGCAGAGACGATGAGGGTGGCTGACAGTCGCAGAGCTATGAAACCATCGGAAATGCAACTGCACAAAAACGTCTTGATCCTTGTTTTTAATGCTTCAAAAAAAAAAACAAACAAACAAAAAAAAACATTGCTATCTAATTAGATAAATCCTTAAGTGTGAGATGATTATTTTTAACCGCTCATCTCAGAGCTAGACAGCGTAGTTTCCAGATGAGAGCTTGTAATGCTTACCCTATCCCTCACTAGCATTAGGGCTAGCAGGAATTATGTTGTTATAAAGTTATTAAACATAGAGGCAGTAAACACTGATGAGTAATTCTGCTGACGTGTGTGTGCGTGTATAATTTAGAAAGCAATAATACCCAGATCCAATTTGGCATACGTTGGTTACAGCCTCGCGTCACCTCATAGGAGTATTATGCTTTCCAATTACATTGAGACAAGTCTTTACGTAACACTGAAGCATTTATATTTGAGGGATTTTTCTCCGTTTTACAGCCTGCCGACTGCAGATGGACATTGTGTTAATGTACAGTTTAATTTTTTCCTGACGACCATTGAGGTCAGGCTTTCAGACAGGGTGGACAAGTGCAGTGTAATTCAATAGTAAGTGGATGTTGATGTACTGTATCCTCATGATGAATCTACAGTGAGCAGCTCATGCCAGGTTAAAGGCTGGGAGAGACATCTGGTGTTATGTCAAGAGCTGAACAGAAGTTCGACTGTGTCTCAACGCCGCTACAAAAATAGTCCAGCCATCACAGCACTGGCCATGTCCAGGTACAGTAAATATCATGCACTCATTCCCAGCAAAGAGAGTTAGTTTAAGTTTCATTACTTTAAACTAAATTTAATTCTGAAACATGTATTTTTTAAGTTTAAGTGCAAAGCATTGTAATAGTAATACCATGCAGTTCAGGGCCAAACTGAACTGGAACTGAGTTCTCACTCAGTCTGACACATGTACTGCATTGTATGTATATTATTACATGCTTTAGAACGTAATACATTTGCATTACTCTCTCCTGTGTAGGAGTCATGCTACTCTGTTGGCAGGCGATGCCTGGGGCAGAGTTTTCACCTGGACCTGCGAGTGAAAGGTGGTAATGTTGAAGCACAATTATGTCTCCAACCACCATTTCTGCACACCCTTTTTTCTTTCGAGAGACTCTGACAGAAAATTCATCACTATTTCAGATGTAACAGCAGCTGAGCAGCAGGAGCTGATATATTTCAGCTGTCTTGTGTGTGCATTCATGGAGAACAATGTTACAAGATTTTATACATTTATGTTTCAGATAAAATTGAGTATTTTCCTCCTACATGAATATTTAATTCTTTATTTTTCTCTGTAAATACTGAGTTTCGATAAATTTGAATAAAAATGTTGACAAACATTTGCCTAAATCCTCTCCTGTGACTCTTTTTGATTCTGATTATGACTGATATATTAGTATTTCAGGATTGTATTTTATTTTATTGGGGGTTTCTAAAGGTGAAAGCAGAAAGACACCGACAAACATTTTTTCAGAACTGCATGAATTTGAATAAGGGAAAATGTATTTATACTTGCTCACTGCTTTCGCAGAGCTTACAAGGGGACAGTAGAAGCCTGCAGTTGAACTGAGCAGCTTTAAGCAGAATGCGAGAGGAATTGTGAATGATGAACAGCAGCGTGCATGTATGCTGTGCCAACATTCCCTGAGAAATGCTGCTTTTTAACTGTATTATAGAGCTGGAGCAGTTCATTTCTCAGGAACTGTAAATCAAACATCTACTGTTATAAAAAGTATGGCATGCACACAAGTCAGCGTTTTTATGCTGCGAGGGTTGCACTGATTTGCTTTGGTGAATGTCTGTGGCATGAACGATTCAGGATGTTTAGTTAGATGTGAATAGTTTACTGGTCTTACTTTGTTGTTTTTTTGCAATGTGTTTTCAATTTGCTTTGTAATGTGGCATTTATGAGTTTTTGACTGCTTTTCTTTTTTTTTTTTTTTGTCCCATTACTCTCCAAAAGTTTATTGTGACCGTGTTAAGTATGTGTGTGTTGTGGGTGATGTGAAATGTGTTGTGGGTTTTGTTGAGGTATTGTTTCTGCTTGTCACAGCTTTTTGTGTGTCCCTTTATGATTACCCAAGGACAGATATGTCTTTTTAGTCACAAAAGAGTGTTCAATCTCTGTAATCACTGCAGGGCCTTGACAACACACATGGGTAAATCTGACCCATTTGAAGAAAGGCAGTGTGAAGTTTAACCCTTTATAAACATTGATCCTAATCTGGCAGAGGAAAAGTAAAATAATGAGACTCTTACATCAGTGCACATATATTCCAATAATGTTAGACTGCTGAGATTGTGAAGGCTTGTTTGCTTTCTTTCTCCCGGCTACACTCTCATGCACACGAACCACTCCTCTCTATCATAAAGGAAGAGGTCTCTCTCTTTAACCTTTATGTGTGTGGCTAATTGTGCTAAGTGGAGTAGCTTAATAGAGTGGAAAATAGTCCTCATAATTTTCCCAGAGAGCGAGCAATGACCTTCTCTAAAGACAACGGCCATCTCCATTCTCTCTACACCGCTGGTTTTATGATATGAAATGTCAAACCATTGGGTTCCTCAGAATAATTAAATCAAATAAATTATTGCACCTAGGCAGAACCATCTTGTAGCCTAACCCAATTATAATGCACTGTAAAGCTAATTATTAACCATGATTACAATTAGTCTAATTTGAATAAATGTAGTCATTAGCGGGTTCATCCTAGTCAGTGAGTTTGAACTGTGGGGGGATGATGGTCTCTCTCTCAATCTCTCCCACTCACCAAAGAGAAAGGTGTGGATGTGCATCATTCTCTTCCAGGCACCTCCATCTTCATCCCATTTTTCACACAGTGACCTTCACAAAATGGCCTACACCCTTCACCCTACCTGTAATGTTGACTGCTTCCAGGATTTATATTTGCTGTTTACACCTGTGCCACACTGATCAGGCTTTGAAACTCGAAGCAAAAGACTCTTTGTGTCTTGTGGTGTTTTATAAGAAAATTGAAATTAAGATAACGGAAAAATTCCTATATTCACTTCTTTGCCGAGAGTTTGTTGAGACAACTGATACGACTGTTACATCTGCCTGTCTGAAGATAACAAGATGCTGCTAACATCAACTCATAAGTCAAAATGTTCCTTACAAAGTGTTTAATCCATATAAAAGCAAAATGGAATGTGCACATATTGCCTCACAGCCTATGATGACAAGACTTTAGGAAGTTACTTCTCCCAACAGGATGCCCTCAACCCCCTAAAACTGCAACTGGTGGTTTTTAAACGTTTGTGTTTGTTAATAGTGAACTTTAGAAAAGCTAAAAAACAGATTTTGTCCCCTTCAGACATAGCCAGACTAACTATCTCCTGTTTTTGTTTTCATGCAAAGCTATGCTATGTGAATGGTTTCAATCTCACACATCTGCCACAAAACAGAGGAGCAAATCTCCAGACTGTTGCTCTGACAGATTATTGAAAACATTCGTTTCCCATTAGTCGTTCAGCAAATTACAGACGAATCTAACAAAGTGTAATCCAAAGATATAATTTAAACTGTACTTATGTAAATCAGAGACTACACTCTTTGAATGTCAGACCCAGGCATATTTATTAATATGATGTATTAGTACTGTAATTGGGCTACAAAATGCATTTAAAAAGCTGAGTGTTACAGCGCCTTATGGCACTGCGGTAAGAGAGCCTGGACAACAGTTTCTTTCCACACAGTCTCCTGAGTTTATACAAAATAGTTAACGGTAAGAGCATTCTATAAACATCTGGCTCACAGGCCAGTGATGCCAGCAAACAAAACAACAGAATTAAAAGACCCCAAAACTGCTGTGCTGGAATGGAACTGCACGGAGCGAACACAAAACCCTCATTTACCAACAGATGTGGCACGCTCGCATCCAAAAAAACAATGCTAAATGTCATACTGATAGTTCATAAATATAGTCCTTTGGATGCCACTCAGTTCAGTCTCTGGCCTCACCCAGCTGCCATGGTTACAGCTGTTTCTCCTGGAAGAGGATCTGTGCGTACACAGTGTCCGAGTTGCAGGGTGTGGGGTCAGGGGTGGATGAGGCTGGGGGCTCCAGCCTCGGTCTGACGAGCTCCAGCTCCGCGTACGTCAGGCTGTCTTCATGTGATGCTCGAGGCTGGTGAAGGGAGGGAACGGGTTAGAGGCACCGAAGGAATTCATTTGGCAGATAAGGACAAAGAGAAAGTGTTGCACATACTGAACATAGACAGATGTAGATTTTACTATAAAAAAAAAAGATGCATAGAAAGAATGTGTGTTGTCTGCATTTAATCCTCTTTAGCAAATATTTTTATTCCCCTCTCCGTGCTAAGCATTCCTTATGTGCTTCTCAGCTGCAGACAGTATGTGTTTACAGGGTTTGCAGGAACATTCAGTTTCCTCAAAAAACATTTGGTACAATCGCAGGCCTGTCCAATATCGTCAGATCGCCCTGGCTACACTAATCCAATCAGTATGTTTGTGCAAAAAAAAAAAAAAAGAATCACAAGAACGGCATCAGTAGAAATACTGATGATCCTTAGTTTGACTAGTTTTCTTTCGTGTATACTTGTTTGACATTTTTATCGTAGATATAAAACCAATGAAGCACTCTAAATAAATAATTGTGTTTCAGAAGCAATAAAGCTAAATAGAATTATCAAGCTCATAACTGAATGAAGAGATGGCAATAAACTCCTGTAGACAATCATGCAGTCATGAAACAAATTCCCTCTTGCATGTATCTCAATAACAACCCTGCTCATGGAAAAGAAAGCATATTTTCACAAAATTAATAAATACATTGTAAAGATTTTAAGGGGTTTATGTTTCATTAATGATTTCTGTAGTACTACTGGACAGAGGTCGTGGGCTTTTCTGCAGGGTGGGAACGAGGAGACTTACAGCAGCAGATCTCCTTGGCTGAGTCTTCGACCTTCTGGGCTTCTGAGGTCTCTTTGCAGCAACTGGCGCTGAAAAACAGAGACAACCTTAATTGATTCAAAACCGCAGCCAGGAGGAATAAACTCGCAAATATGACTGTGTGGTTGAAGTCAAAATTATCCTCCAGAAGCGCTTTATAATAAACCTAATCAAGGTGTTGTTTAGAACAGAAAGAAGAGCTCTATTCAGCTATTTTCCGTGTCAGTTTTGATTTTGCCTCTGACAATAAACTCAGCAGGGTTGTTACATTCTCAGACTGTTTTCTCCTGGTCTCCTAGTCTCTCTCAAGCTATGCTGTTTTTGTCACACAAGTTGAATGAAGCTGGAGGTATCGTTTTCTGCTTTTGTTCTCGCTGATCATTTACTGTTCCTTCTTTTCTTGGAGCTGGGGCCTCTGTTAGCCCCCTCACTCTAATACGTTCAGTGTGTTTGGAGTTTAAAAGACAAGGGCTGGGAATGGAACCAGACTGTGAACATTTTTTGCATGTTCGAAATCCAATAAAAGCCGCTGGCATAGTTATCCTTCAGAGAATTAAACACAACCGGCTCTTTACCTTTGGTTAATATGTGCAGCGGTGGCTGTTCAGGTAGTTTAGGCGGTGTCACTGTTACTCTTCTTTCAGTTTTCCGTCTTGATTCTTTCCTTTGTGTCCTTGGAGAGGAACTGGAGGAGCTGCTGGAGCTGGTTACAGTCTCTCCTGAGCTGTATGGAGTAGAAGAGATTACATTTTAATTAGGGCTGCAACTAACAGCCGTCTCCATTATGAATTCATCTATTGTTTTTTTTTCTTCATGCTTGAGCAAAATATATAAAAAATATTTTAAAAATGCAGAAATAACGCATAGTCAAGTGTCAGAAATGTATGGTTTCATTAATAGATGGTCTGATATTAATTCTGTGATCTATAAATTAATAGGTTTATATTTATTGCAATGTAAAATAAAGCATCCATCAGAACTTTTCAAAGCCTGTGTGTGTGTGCGTGTGTGTGTGTGTGTGTGTGTGTGTGTGTGTGTGTGTGTGCGTGTGTATAACTGGTTTTTAAATAACCAGCAATGCAAAACCAAAGATGTTCAATTTTTTGCTACATAAGCTAATCACTTTGGCACATTGGCACCTTTACTCAATACATTTCTAATTATTCATTATTTTTGCATGGACTGAGAATTTAAACGTGGTTGCTTAATTATTTCAATACTATTTATTAAATAAACAACATACTAGTACCTGCTTTCTGGGCATTTGACCAGAAGATAACTGGCTGTGGAGAAAGCAGCAGAAAAAAAAAAGACGACTTAAATAAAGTTTGGTTCAAATCAACAACCAGAAACAAAGTTATAAATGTGAGTTTCTGTAGGAGGACAAATGATGGTTTCACCTTTGAGCCTGTGTCTTCTGTGGAAGTACTGGCAGGTTAGGACGAGCGTGAACAGGAAGATGGACAGCAGGCCCAGCGAGCAGATCAGCACAGCACACAGATACACATCTAAAGACACAGGCAGAAAAAGGCCTCAGGACAGCTGAATTATCAAAGTAAGATGTGTATATAATAAAGCGATACAGAAGTAGGGCTGGAGATTAAAACAGTACCTGCAAATAAAAGCCACAGTCCTTCACTGCTTCCATCCTCAGGGGTAAAGTGCACTGGAGAAACAATTGTTTGAGAAAGTCAGCAAAAACAGCACATAAAGGACAGAAAACTGTGCCCAGACTAAGTATCTTTGTAAATTGCTGATGTCTGAGGACGCTGTCCCAATACAGCCGACAGCCTCAGTGGTTTCCTGAAATATCCAAACCACTGTCATGAAGGGAGAGTCTGCTGCCGCATCGGCCAAACCCACCACACACACACACACGCGCGTGCACACACACACGTACACACAGGCTTCACTGTATTCCTGTTCTTGGACAGTGTTTAGGGGGTTCCCCATCGTTCTGCACATCAACTTCCTTTTGTCTGTCACTTCACTTTCCATGTTTTCAGTTTTCTTTGTGTCCTTAGAAAAAGACAACAGAGGGGGAAGTTGTTGTGGGTTGGGTGTATAGGTCAGGGGTATTTAGCACGAGGTTGAGGAGAGTGAACAGAGGCTGTGTACATAAATTACTTTGTCTTGGCTCCCCATAATGAGATTTTAATATGTCTTTTACACACAGGTTGATACGTATTAATAAGAAATGATAAGATATTAACTCTAATTGACTTCTAGCCTGTTTCCAGACCACTGAACTGCCTACAAAATTGTCAAATGTGTCTTGGCTGTTCCATCTAAGTACCACGTAATTAATGTGGGATGCAGTGGGAGCAACACAATGACTTTAGTTGTGGCCAAACATAAAACAGAGTCTAAAAATACCAAAACTGTCTCATGTGTATTACTTCAATTTGACATTTTTTTCCCCCCAAAATATGCATGAAGTCCAAGAAACAAGCCATAATGACAATGATTTTATAATAATGCAGTGCAGTACGAGAGCTCTGCAATATGCTATCTTTATCCTAAATCTTGCCATTTTTGTTGAGACGGTCATAAACATGTAATTCAGTGCTATGAAAATTAGTCAAGGGAAGGCAAATCTATCATGTTATTTGTGCCTGCATCAAATTGTATGTCATTTTGTCCACCCACTGTTGAGCACACAATATAAAGTAATGACAACCTAAGATAAAGGCACGCAAACTGTAGCATGGTCTTACTCATCTCACGGCATGACAGCTACATTTAGCAGGCATCTCTTGACAATTTGCGCAGCTAACGTTTAGGCTAATGCAAGTAAACCACATCTCACACTGTGGTTAACCACAAGCTAAACCCCACATCTGATCAGTGCAAGCAGCCCGAGGTCAACAGGTTGGCTGGTTAGGGAGCTATTAAATGTACATACGCTCCGCAGATGTGTCGACGCAATACCAACAGTGTACCAAAAGTTCCACAGTTATGCATTAAAACATATATGCAGCCAAGCACCATCAGGTACAGATTTAAGCTCATCTGCTTTCCCCCAGCTGTGGAGAGAGGACGTGGAAAAACGAAGCGTCTGCTGAAACTAGTAGGGTTGTAAATCTAAAGCCAAAGCAGAGTGTCTGATACTGATTTAATTTAACAGTAATTGTGTAATCATTTTGCCACTTTATAAAAGCAGCAAAAAGCACGAGGCATTTAGGTTTGAAGTTGGGATTCAGAGAGGTCAGGCTGTGTCTCCATTATGCAAAGTCTGTTGAATAAAAGTAGTCCACTGACCTCAGTGGGGTGTAGCCTTTGCTCTAGGATCTGCAAATCTGAAATCTGCAGACTGAGGGGTTCCCTGGATTACAACTTTTTTTCTCTTTGTTTACCCTTATAATGTCAGCTCTTGTGTTTCTGGTTCTGCGGTCAATGCATGTCGGAGATGCCTGAGGTTGTGTGGCTTCCTTAGCGGGCCCTGAATATAGGGCAGGGCGTTGTCAGATGGCTCTGTCTGACTTCGACCTCTTTTCTGGCGAAAAAGTCGTGAAAGGTAAACTGTGGAACTAAGGCACATGGAGCCACACCAAAGCATGGAATAGAAGCATCAGAAATGTTGAGTAAAGCCCTTTATCTGGTGCATCCACCACAGAATCAATCTGGCTAAAATCAAATAAGGATAATTCTGATATAAAAGAATTTATTCATTTATTACTGCATAAGATTTAAATTAATCCTCATCCATATTTATTAACTTTGCTTATTGTTGAATTCTGCAGGAACCTTGGCACAAACTAAGTAAGTTGCAATTGAATTCTCCAGTAAATTTTCTCCTGAGGCTTGCATAAAAGTAAACCCAGAATGCTGACGTCATGTGTTTCAGAGTTTTTCAACGTTGCCAACTCAGCAACACTCTACCTTTTACTCCGTACACTCATACACACAGAGTGATATTGTTGAGTGTGGTTTGGCTGTGTGAGCTCATTGTTTTGAGATGGAAATGCCAGAGGAGAGGGGTCACGCTCAAGCACATGGGTACCACTTACTGCAAATAGTGCAAGCAGAATCAGAGAAAACATGGTAAAAAATTTCTATTTGATCCTTGTTCTTTCATGAAATGTGTTGCCCATCCTTTATTTGATTGTTTTCACTGCCAGACAACACATGCAGCATACCTCAGTTAAAGAGATGTGGCTCTGAGGAAATTCTCTGGAAAGGAGTATTCCATGGAACATGGAAAATTTTGAAATCAGACCAGAAATCCCCTTTGTGCTTGCTCATGCTTGTCAGTGATTGTTGTTGTGCAAAAATCTAAAAAAGTACAAAGATGAACAGCTCACTTCACGTCTTGGGAAATGATGTCCAGCACGATGTATGGGTTTACTGTTGCCAAATTCTTTATTTCTATGCGTGAACCAAGGTTAAACTGATATTGAATTCTTTGTTTAGTTGTTGATTTAATCCTCAAAAACTTATTTCAATATATTAAACATACATATTTAGATGTTTTATAAAATAATCCCTTACTGTTTTAAAATGACTTAGCTGTAGCTCTAACCCATGTCTTCTTCTAGAATGTGCAGATCTACGTAGTCTTCTCCACCCACCCCTCCTCACTCAAGGTAGCTCGAGCACACCAGCTCACTTATAACTCTGCTCAGACACTGTAAAACTACGTTATGCGACAAACTGTACTATTGAAGTAATACAGCCATGCATGGTTGAGCTGGAAACCCATTCTGAAGAAAAATAATGACACAGAAAGCTCCATCCTGAAAGCTGACATGATTGGGTCCTCAGGTTTGTTACATATGAAACCCTGGAAGCCTGAATCTGTTATTTTTTTTGATGTGTCATGCTGAAATGTTTAGCCATGTTGCACATGATTGCACATTTTGCACATGTTTTTTTTCTAGCATCTAAAAAAAATACCTCCAAATGGACACATTTACATGGCAAAAAACTTGATTTTCACTGAAGTAGGTCTTAAATAAATTCCCAACGTGATAAAAGGTAAAAAATGTAATGGAATCTGACTTTGACAATTTTGGTCGTAACAGTGCAACACTTGCATTTTTCACTGCCTTATTCACTTGTGCTTTTCTCTTCACCAGGAGTCGCTTCCTTAACCCTAGTCTGCCTCTGATGTAGATTGCAGATATAAGCCTGCGACTTTCATTATATGCGGGTTTCCTCCCCTTCCGCCATCTACATGTTCCTCCCCTTCAACGACAACAACCTCAGAGCAGCAACCTATGCACAGGTTTGGATCATGCAATTAAACAACCCTGTTTCTTTTTTGTTGTTTTTTTTTTTTAATGTAGTATGCATTTTAATGGCAGTGCTCACCTCCCTACAAGCAAATGTTCCACCAGAACAATTCCCAGATCTTTATTTTGAGTAAACACCATCAGTGCATCCTATTCATAGGTCTGTGCAAGATGACTGTGATTGTTTTGAAGTAATCTAAGTACACCAGAGCTTTTATTTCACCCATAATAGTAAAAATGATGATGTGCAATAAAACCAGTCAGCACTAGAGAATGGTCTGGCTATGTGGGACTACTACTACTACTACTACTACTACTGCTACTACTACTACTACTACTACTACTACTGCTGCTACTACTACTACTACTACTGCTACTACTACTACTACTACTACTACTACTACTACTACTACTACTACTAACAGTCCCAAGACAGGGAGGATACTGGTTTGGTGAAGCTTAATTTTAAATCTGACAGCTAACAAGTGAAAAAAAATGTCTGTCAACATTCACCCCATTGTAAGCCAAATGGGTCTTCTCGCAGACACATCTGACATGAAGAGCTGAAGCAATTAATATACACCTTTAGTTACCTGTCAGCTGTGTGGTGCCGGTACCATTGGAGGATGCTCTCCATGTGTCTCTGTGTTTCCGGATCTCCTGAACCTTACAGGTATAAAAACCCTGGTCCATCCCCATCACGCGGAAAATCCGCAACCGGTACACCTCTCCCTCCGTTTCCTCGTGCAGACGAAACTTTGGTTGGGGGAAACGACGGGTGTAGTTCCCATACATCTTCAGTTTCTTTATGCCCATCTTCACAATCAGAAATTGAGCAGGCTCGAGGGCAGGAGGGGAGGTGGGTGGAAAGGAGGGAGGAGGCCCCAGTGTAGGAGCAGTAAGAGGAGAGAAGAACCAGCGAAGAATGAGGACACTGTTGCTTCTCTTCCTTTGAGATACGAGGCAGGACAGTGTCAGGTTGTCTTTCTCTGGTACTAAGACAACAGGCCCAGGGGTGACTGTCACATTCAGGGCGTGACATACTTCTGGTGAGAGAAGACACAAACACTACAGGTTATATACAGAGCTGTCAAACTTTATGTACATTTTAAAATATATTTGTAGTTTTGCAGACACATAAAACATATTAATATGTGAAACCTATACTATGCATTGCTAATATTACTTTGAAACAATGGTATTAATTTCTCATAAACACCCCCCAAAAAAATCGTATCCAAACATTAGCAGATTTACAGAATTCTATGATATAGTAGCTTGCGTGACTCCTCCCTGCTTTCTAAATTAGTAATTAACTAGAGTTGGTAATGTGCCTCACATGGAAAAGTCTGAGTTCATTTTTACAAGATGTTTGATTTCCTGCCAATTAGACATAATTGTAGCATCCAGACAAAGTACGTTTCAACGCACACCCACAGTGGCTTGTTAGATTTAAATGCTGTCACAGCTCAAACAATCCCTGTTTCTACTTATATGTATCATTCCTTCACTGGATGATTGATAGTCTGCAATAGCCAAAAAGCACTAACGGACTACGCATGAAAAAAAAAACTACAGCATACTTTGTGTGCCCCTGTTTTGCTTCCCTGGAAGAACTCGTGTTTTATTCTGATGCCAGCTAGGTCAAGTCTGTTTAGAGGAGACACAGAGTCTGGACACAATATGTGTGATCAGACAGGCAAAGAGAAGCTACAGGTGGGAAACATTCATCCTCAGTATGGTAAAACCCGATCCAGGCAAAGAGAAACAGGGCAAGATAACAGGGACCATCTGGTCTCCCATGCTGCTTGCTGTTTTTTTGTTGTTGTGTCAGATGGGGAATCTCCCTCAGGGTCTCTGGGGTCTCTCCCGTACTATCTAATGTGACAACAGATGCAGCAAAAGTGACTCTAACCAACTTCATACACAACTGAACATAACATAAAGATTATAGGGCAGAAAAAAAAAATCGTTCTACATCCACTCTTTGACAGTTTACATATAGAGAAAAAATTATACTGAGGTTTCTCTCTGATTACAGAGAAAGAACTTGTTTGATTCCACAGCTGGTTTGATTTAATTCAAAACCAAGTTTGCAAAAACCCTTTCGCAACATCAAAATTTCCAATAATGTAACAATTAATGCTCTGGCAAATTTTGATTGTTGTGGAGACGATAACTGTTTGATGATGATTGTTTTTGTAAGTTTGATATTACTAAACCAAAGTTCCACAATAAACCAAAACTTTATAGTTTCATGATGACAGATCAAGTTACTACTTCAGACAAATGTTCTTTCTTTCTTGCTCGCTTTCTTCCTGGTTTATACTGCTGTAAACAAGGTAAACTTACCTGTGACCAGAGCCTTAGTCAGGACAAGGACCGCTATAGAGAAGTACATTTTCCACAGTCAGCGAATCCATAAACCCAGACAACTGCACAGCACTTACACAAGCAGCTACATTCAAAACAGAGCCTGACTGCACAACCCACCAGAGCCCTTACCCACCATTAACTCTTCTCCTCTTTCTCCTCTTTTCTGTGTAATATGAAACAGTAAAGGCTCTGTTCCCACTTAGAAACTCCCACTCTCTCCCAGTACTCTCTCTCTCTCTCTCTCTCTCTCCCTCTGACTGTCTCTCTCCCTCGCTCTTTCTCTGTGTGTCCTGCAAAACGTAGGAAATGTCATTTCCTGTGTTCCTGTGAGGGTCTTGGACCGTGGCCCAAAACCCCAGAACTCTAAAGTGATGGTCAGGTCTCGCGGTTTGTGCGTGTGCATGTGCTTGTCGCGCTGTGTGCAGTTTTGAGAAGCATATACAGTAAAATGCTGAACATGCATTTCCATCACCCTAGTTTCTCTCAACGTGTAGGGATGGCGCTCATCTTGCATCTCCCAGTAAAGCTAACAAAAGAGCAAATGCTGATGCTAACTATGTATTTTTGTGTCTGTATGTGTGTGTTCCTGCCTGTATGTAGATGAGCATGTGTCTCTGTGTGTGTGTGCTGGGACCTCTCCCTGCCTAGCTGCTGGACAGAGTGGCATGGGCTTGTCTCTGGCTGCGGTTGTCAGACTGTCCCAGCGGTATGAAGCCTGCTGCTTTATTGGGCAGCCTAAACTGCTGAGGCAGGGCTTCTGCTGGCGCTTTGAGCTCTGCCAAAGCCAAATGGAATTACACAACAGATTTAACCCTTCAACTTATACGTAGGATTCTTTTGAAAAGTATGGATTCAGTGGAAAATGTGCTGGCTGGGTTTGTAAGGTGGTTTAATCCTTTCTAACCAGGACATTTTTTTTAAAATTTGGTTTTGAGAAGACAGCTTAAGTTTCAGTTGTAGTACAAGTTTTATGAATTCAGGGTCATGTGTAAATGTGCTACAATAATAGTTCTGGTGACTGTGGAGAAATATTATGTCTTCTTAACTACATCTTTTACTTGGGGTTTCCCTCAAGTTTTCCTCTTACCTTGGTCTTAAAGTTCAAATCTTTGCTCCAGTGGAGGAATCGCTCTGCTCTGCCCCACAGTGGTCACAGCAGGTTACTGCTTCTCAGGGGGATCAACGAGACTTGAGGTTACTATCATGAAACTGGGTAGTATATACAAGCATTCTCACCGCAGCAGTGTGCATTTAATATGAGTTGGTGAATCAAGGGAAATCAAAGAAAAGAATTCTCACACTGTATTATTTCTATCATTGCATCCCATAGGTGTAGTAGGCAAAGACTTAAGCATTTGAATTGTTTCATACAGCAAAAAAGGACACGAACACAAAAGTCATCATCAAAATGTTATTTTTTCTTTTTGTGTTTTTAAAATCTCCCAGGATATATTATTGCATTTTGTAATCTTGTTATGTAATCAGTGAAAAGACTCTTCATTTTGAGTCATTTAGACCCAGATACAGAACAGGATGCCAGTGATGGTAATATTATATTGTTATTACAGTTGTCTTAGTCATAAAAATGACTGTTACAGATATCTTCTTATTTCCTTTTTGTTCATTTATACCCTTAACAGCGTGATTTGAACGGTAGTCATCGTGCTGAGAACATATTTAGTTGAATGAAGTGTGTTTTTATTGTCTGCATAAGCCCATGTCACACTACTCTGTTTCACAGCAACACAGAAACATTCTCATAAACTTCCAGTTTAAAAAATAGACTACTGTATGAAATTAAACCTTAAAAACAGCAACAATCTCAACACCTTGTGTTCACTTTGACACAGTGGCTGATTACACAAACTAAGCTTTACACCATCTGAAAAAAGAATTTGATTGACTCTTTGGGTTTCACAATATTTCATGCATCACAAAATGCCAAAAGTAGGATTTCACAAGCAAGAAAAAGGAAAACTTAAGCAGGCCTGCCGATGTTCAAAACGAACGCTTTTGACACACTGTTGCTGTTGATGTATGATAACATAAGTTTAAGAGGCAGCGGGATACCGATGATACTGTTTACACAAGTAATATATCTTAGCTTCTCACATTCAAAAGTCAAATGGAATGGTGAACTCTGTAAAACAATAAATAGATCATCAATGAATCCCCAAAATCAGCAGCAGCAATTTAACAGCATGTCACAGGGACTTCTAAAAACTACAAACCAAAAACATTCGGAGACTATTTTCACTTGTAAAAGTCATTTACAAACGTTCAAATACTGCATGTTATGATCCATTCATTTTGTGCTCTTTGTTTTATCAAATACGTAATACCAGTCTTTGTTCTCACCAATCAGACATATCCATAAAGTCCTCCAGTTCACTCATGGTTATTATATCACGAGGCTGACACCGTGAGGGGGCTGAGTTATCATTTTCACAAATGGAGCTTCCTGCAAGCTGGCTGTTTGTGTCACACTCTGGGAATGACTCATATGAGCCATGTGTGTTGTAAACTCTGTTATATGTTTTGTCTTTATCATTAACCGTGTCCATATATGGAGTCTTCTCTGGACTGTAGCGATTTCCTTCAGAATTCTGCCCTGTTTCAGAAGCTGGGTATCCATAGTTGTGGCTGTCTCTGACAGGATGTTGTTCTTGGTGGAGAGTCGCTGGGGCTGATGACCTCTGAGAGTGTGCAGAGTTGACTGCTGCATGTTGGTAGCCTTGTGGATAACCATGATAGCCTTGATAAAACCCAAAGGGCTTGTCAGCCGGAGAGGTCTGGGGGAGTGGCTGTTGCTGTGGCGTGATCTGCATTTGGGGTTGGAGCTGAGGCTGTGGGCATGATTGCTGGGTCTGAGGTTGCGAGATGCTTTGTCCAGATTCACGCACATTGAGTTGAACATACTTTCCCGTCTCTGGGTCGAAGAAAGTCTTAGTTTTCACTGGAACAGGAACATCCACCACGAAATACTGACCAGAACCGAGATCTTGCAGCACCTTGCGTTGGGTCAGGGGGTAGGACTGTGGATAGCTTGACTCTACTTGGTACTGTGTCACTGGAGCTGGGTGTTTTGCACGATGGAGAGTGGGAGAAGAAGGAACGTGAGCAACTGTCTTAGGAGTAATAGGTTGGGAAGCAGGAACAGTAGCATGAGGAGACACAGTAGGGAGGGAAACAGCAGCAGTAGCGTGAGGCGAGGAAACTGGGAGGGAGACAGGACCGGTGGCATGAGGCGAAGCGTGGAAAGAGCGGTGAGAAGATTGGTGCTCTGTATGGGAAGAAGGCAAGCTAGAGCCCAGTGCTGGAGCATGAGCAAGGGAGACAGGTGCAGAAAAATGGGGAGAAGCTACAGAATGGCGGCTGGAGGAGCGTACCTCAAATGAGGAGGAAGACGGAATACTGGAGACCTCTTTCTCAACTCCAGCAGGGTTGTCTGCTGCAGGTTTGGACAACTCTTTATTTATTCTTCGAGAAGTCAACCTTTTAGCCCTGCGTAAGGCTTTCTCACTCTTTGGAGGAACAGCTGGAGGCTTGCCCAAAGAGCGGGACACATCGCTGCTGAAGCTACAGGCTGATTCTGGCCTCTCAGAGTCATACAGGCCTCGTATGTCTGCCAGGTCTGTTGCACTGGTGGCATAACTCTCCACATCCTCTGACATGTTGCTGATGACAGAGCGGGAGTCGTCCTCATCCATAGCGATGCTTCTCCTGGAATAGGGCCTATGATGAGGGATGTGGGCTGAGTAATCCAGCGATGAAGACGAGGACTGGAAAGTTGAAGATTCATTGATAGCAGCAAGTCTGTTGAATCCCGGGTCAGGATAGACTGGAGTTCCAGCACTGCGTCTCACTATCTCCTGCTCTTCCTCTCCTTTCTCTGACCCCACTGGTGAACCCATCCAGAAATCCTCCCCAAAGTTCTTATGGAAGCGTGGTTTGACTGACTTGGTGAAAGAGGAACCTCTGATGGTGTTATCTTTTACTCTGAACATTGAGGGCTTGGCTCCTAAAGCAGGAGAGGAAGCGTTGGAACGGGGCAGAGATGGAGCTGGAGATGCAGGGGCATGCGGTCGATAAGGCCTGATGTGGGAGTCATCAGCTGACTCAAGTCCTGAGGGATTGCTTCTTTGCTGGGGAGGTAGAGGGGATAATATTTGTCTTTCTCTGGATGCCCTCTCTGATTCTGTTGAGGTGATGGCATAGTACTGGAGACTATCCATCTGTGTTGCTCTATTTTGATTCTCCATCTGAGCAGCTCTCACCTTTTCTTTGTGAGCTCCCAAATTTTCTTTTTCTTCCCTCTTTTTAGCCTGGATCTCATCCTCTGTCTGAGCTAGCATCCCTTCTTGTGCTACTCTCTTCCCCTCTTTCAGCTCTTCTTGGCTTTCCTCAAGAACTCTGGCCCTCTCCTCTTTGACTTGCTTTTCTTCTCTTTGTTTTATGACTTTGTCTTGTTCCACAGCTTTCTTCTCCTCCTCCGATCTTTGAGCTCTCATCCATTCCTCTTTTTTCTGTTGTTCTCTCCTTTGCGCTTCAATCTGCTGCTCTGCTTTCTTCTGTGCCTCAATGTGTTTAAGCCTTTCAGCTTCTGAAATAAAAGCATTTTTCTCTTCTTTTCTTATCTTTTCATCAGTCATTAGTTTAGCTCGCCTTTGCTCCTCAACCAGAGAGGCTTGTCTTTGCTGTTCCTCTTGTGCAGCTCTTCTCTGTTGCTCTTCCAGTGCAGCTCGCCTCTTTTGCTCTTTGTGAACTCTCCTTTGTTGCTCTTCTTGTGCTGCTCTCCTTTGTTGTTCCTCCTGTGCAGCTCTTCTTTGCTGCTCTTCCAGTGCAGCTCGTCTGTTTTGCTCTTCTTGAATTCTCCTTTGCTGTTCTTCCTGCGCAGCTCTTCTTTGCTGCTCTTCTTCTGCAGCTCTCCTTTGTTGCTCTTCTTGTGCTGCTCTTCTTTGCTGCTCTTCCAGTGCAGCTCGCCTCGTTTGCTCTTCTTGAGTTCTCCTTTGCTGTTCTTCTTCTGCAGCTCTCCTTTGTTGCTCCTCCTGTGCAGCTCTTCTTTGCTGCTCTTCCAGTGCAGCTCGCCTCTTTTGCTCCTCTTGAGCTTTCCTTTGTTGCTCCTCTTCGGCTGCTCTCCTCTGCTGTTCCTCTTGTGCAGCTCTTCTCTGCTGCTCTTCCCGTGCAGCTCTCATTTGCTGCTCTTTTTGAGCAGCCCTCCTTCTTTGCTCTTCTTGTGCAGCTCTCTCCTCCTCTTCCTTTTTCGCCCTCCTCCTCTCCTCATCCTCTCTTTTCTTCTCTTCCTCCTCTCTCAGTTTTGCCTGTCTCGCCTCAGTTTCTTTGATCCTCATTTCTTCTTCCCTTTGCTTTGCTCTCATCTCCTCCTCTTTTTGAGCAGCTTTCTCTCTTTCCTTGTGTTTTGCTTTTCGTTCTTCCTCAGCTCTTCTCTCTGCTTCTCTTTGTTTATCCCTCCTCTCCTTGATCTTAAGAGCTATGGCCTCACGTTCTCGAGCTCTCCTGTCCTCCTCCCTCTGAATGGCTCTCCTCTCTTCTTCAGCCAGAGAGGCTCTACTCTCCTCTAGTATGTGTTTTATTCTCATGTCTTCTTCTCTTTTCTCCTCTTTGCTCCTATACACTCGCTCTTCTTCCACTTGTTTTATTCTAGCCTGTGGTTTTGCTTTGGTTTCTTCATGCTGAGTTGCAGGCCTTTCATTTTTGAGTTTGTCTGACCTCCCATCCTCAGTCTTAGCCCCTGTGTTTTTGTCTTGTTCAGTCCTCTTATCTTTACTTAAAGTTGTCGTGTTTTCATGTGGATAAGAATTTTGATCTAAATATGTCAACCCTTCTGCAGTATGTCTTGGCCTGTTGACTGCAGAAGGTAAAGCTGTTGCTTGCAGAAGATGACTGTTTGGCTGATGAACACTCAGATCTTGACCTACTCTTTTGATGCCAGCTGCCTCCATTTCTGTCTGAGCTACTGGTGACTTGATTCTCTCTTTATGATGTGCATCTTTTGCTGCGTTGTCTAACGCACCTTCATTCACTTTGGCATCTATCAGCATCTTCTCTTGTCTTTCTTTGTCTCCCAGTTTGAACATCCCCGTCCTTTGGTGTTCTTTCTCTGTAATGGGATATACTAGCGCTTTGGGCTCTTTGTTCACTTTGGCGCTCATCTCTGTCTTACTTGGCAAATTTTTCTCTTTCACAGAGAGGTCTTGTGGGTCAGCGGTGAACACAGGACGTCTGCTATGACGAGTCTGTATTAGTGGAAAGAATCCTTCCTTTTTGTTGGGTGGGAATTCCTGAACTGTGTTCCCCTCTCTGTCCTCTGACACAATCACTTTTAACCTGGCATAGTCTGCAAGGGCTGATATCTCAGGTATTGTGGATGATCTTTCTTTTGGTTTTGGTTTAGCTTCAGGGGTTTCTTTCGGTGTGCTTTCCTTTGTTGTGTGTGAATTTCTTGAACTCTGTCTTTCCACTGATGATAAACGGGACTGGTTTTCTGTGTGATGTTTTCTTATGAGATTAGTTTGAACTGCCTCCGTCACTGCATTATTACTCCATCTCTCCATGGAACCATCAGTCTGTTTTGAAGCAAGCTTATCTTCCCTTTCCCATTTTTTCTTTTTTACGCTCTCATCTTGAATGCTTACTGAACTTGATTCCACTGCTTTCCTTTTATCTGGATCCACACTGAACACAAAGACTTCAGTTTTTCCCTCCTTGGATGATTTATTGCTGACAGCTGTCGTGTTTTGTTGTAGCCCTGAAAGTTCTCTTCCCTTTGATGCATCTCCAACAGTTACATTATTGTTATGTGGCTCATTGTTTGATACCCCTTGTACTTGAAAGTAGTCTCCCATTGGTTGTATATTGGATTCATCTACCAAGTTCTGACTTTTCACTAGTTTTTCAGGCTTTTCATTTTCAGCTTGGGTAGTCCCAGTATTTGTGTTGGTGCTCTTCTGTTTATTGCTACTTTTCAGTGAATCAGACAGTTTTCTAACACTGGACAAGACGTCTTGAACTCTTTTTTTGTCATCCAAACTGTCCTGCATCGTCTTCTCGCTGCTTGCTTGAGTGAAGTCTTTGCTTTGGTCTTTACTGTTTAAAGGATTTGCTTTTTGGTTAAAACTAGATGATGTAACTTGTTTATGTTCATTACCCAGCGCCGCATCAGAAGGAGAAGTTGGGATGTGATGCTTTCCCACCATTGCCACACTGTCCTTCTCAGTTACTGCTGGCACAACTCTGATGGCAATGCAGTCAATGTGCACATTATCATCCTCTTGATTACTTTCTCCAATGTGTGTCTCGTTATTTTGACGTCTGATTTCATTCTCAGTTAAATTGCTAGAAGGACTGACTTTGTTGGAGGTTTTTGGTGGTGCTGAGTCAGTCAGTCTCTTTTCCTCTGGTAGCTTTGCGCTCTTGTCATCAATGCTACTGCTTTTGGACTGATTTATAACACTTGTCATATCTTCTTTCACTGATGGCTGGATGCCATGTGTTGTTAGAGGTTCTGCATCGTGCTTGTTGATTCCTGTGTTCAACTTTTTAGCAGTGAAGTTCTCGCTGGTGACTGCTGCTTCTGGTTTTTGAGGGTTTTTCTCTGTGGTTTTAGTCTTTACTTCATCTGTGCTTACACTTTTTGCTGATTTTTCATTTGGCAATTTAGCTGCATGGCCTTTGTTTTCTTTAGCTATTGTGTCCTGTTTGTGCAGATGGGGTTGAGTTTCAGGCAACACTTTATTTTTAGCAGGTACAGTGACTGTGAAGGGCACACCTTTTTCAGCCTGTGGTTCTGGTTGCATTTCCCTTTGGGGTTTGGCACTTTTAGAAGACACCTCCTGCTGGAGATTTGTCCTTTTCTCTGTGACATTCTCAGTCACATTATGCTGTCTTGTCTCGTAAGGAACATTTTCTTGCACAGTTTCAGGCTGATTTTTTGTACCAACTTTAGTCTGATCTTTTGTTTCCTGTACGTCCTTTGTCTTTGCTGTGCTAACTTCCTTTGAAGATGAATTTCTTTGTATTACTTCTAAGCCTGAGTTGGGATGGCACTTATCTGGCTCTGAATTATCAAACTTTTTCTCAGTTTTTGTTTCGGTGGTGTTATTCCTTTCATCAATACTGACAGATGGTTTTCTTTCTCGTACAGTTACCATTATTCCCATAATCTGTAAACTCTCATCAGCCACGGCGGCCGTGTTCTGACCTAATACCAGACTTATCGAAGGTTCTGAGTCTTCCTGAGCAGCTTCTTTACTTTCAACCTTTTCTGTCGTCACAGGTCTTGAGCTTGCAGCTTGCGATGGAGTTTCTTTATTTTTGTTGACATTCTCTGTATTAATAGCTGGATTATCTTTAAATTCCTCTTTCTGCTTTCCAGCAGTTTCTCCAGAATTTACTTGTTGTTTTCCATGATCAATCTTTGGCGTCTGCTCTTTATTTTGCACCGGTGACGTAATACCACGTTGATTCTTTTGCTTTTGGTTCAGGTCCTCAGTTGTGCTCATATTATAGCTTTCTGTCTGGTTTGTTTTTCTGGGTGGTTCTGGCACGTTGCTGTTGCCTTTCAACGGTTTCCTTGTTTCTTGTTTCTGTAAATGATCTGCTAACTGAGTGGTTGCTGCTGCAGATTTAGCTGGTATTGTAGTTGAGCTTGGAGGTGAAGCAGACTTGACTGGTTCCATCTGTCCTCCTAAAGGCTCCGTCTGGTGCTTCGGTGTAATATTACTGGAGCTTTCATGCTTTTTAGATCCTTCCTGTGATGGTGGCCTCTGTCGTATATTAACACTATGACTGCCTCCTAACTGCTTGACAGAGTTTTTGCTTGAAAACCCATCTCGTGTAGCAAAACCCTCTTTAATCGCTGAAATCTCTTTTTCAGCGTGAGCTTTTATCTTGGAAGTCAGAATCTCCTGCTTGGTCTGAGCTCTCTCTTTATGGGACAATGCTTTGGGAGGGGTAAAATGCAGATCTTTACCCTGGCCTGTATGGTGCTCAGTTGACTTAGGTTTCCTTTCAAGGGGAGGCGGTTTAGTCAAATCAGAATCTCTTTGCAGTGAAACATCAGCGTCTTTTACAGGGTCACACTTTTTCAACTTTTCAACACTATCATCCTTAACTTTATCAGCAACACTTTCACCATTTGCTTTTATATCTAGATTGGATAGTTTGAATTCTTTGGATGACTCACTGTAAACATACTGACTTTCTGTCACTTCACTAGATTTAAAGCTTCCTCCTTCCTCTTTGTTTTCTGTCTTAGCTGTTGTAAATCCATTTGCAGGACTGCATACATCTTTTGATTTATCTGTATTTAATGTCTCAGCTTTATCAAGAGGTAAAACCTGTGTTTCGTCAGCATCATTTAAAGAGGCATTTCCTGTCGTCGACGCTTTGTTTTTGTTGGTAGAAACTGCATTTGTAAAACCGTATTTTTCTCTAAGACGGATATAATCATCAGCCCCTCTAAAAGCTTGACTGCTGCTACTTATGACAGCTGAGGCTTCTTTCTGTTGATGCATTTCAGCTGCCTGATCATGCTTTTCATGATCCTCATTTTTACTGATTCTGACACTTAAAGGAACATTGTTCTTAGCAATGTCATCCTCTTTCAGGGTGACTGTATTTTTGACTTTCTCTTTTTGCTCACCTCTCATTTTCTCCTTTATTTTTGCTAACTCTGCTTTGGCTTTAGCTAACTCTGTCTTAACTTGCTCAACTCTGTCTGGTTCACTTTTAAACAGTTGTGATGCTGTAAGTTTTGCTGCGAGTTTAGCTGACCTTTCCTGCATGTTTTCTGTTTTTGGTAACTCTGCTTTAGCTTGCTCCATTTTGGTTCGTTCCACCTTTGCCTGTTCTGCTTTTCTCTTTTCAGGTTTTGCATCTTTGGCTGTACCTTTTGAGGTTGTAGGTTCCTCTGCTTGAATTAAATCTGCTTTCGCTTGTGTAATACCCTCAACTTTGATGTGGTCTATTTTGACCTTTTCCACTTCATCTTCCTTTGTCTTCATGTGTTCTGCTTTGGTTTCTTGGTCTTTTCCCTGCTCTGTTTTTGTTTGTTCTCCTTTTCTACGTTCTGCTTCAGCCTGTTCTGCGTTAACCTTTTCTGTTCTGATTGGTTCTGCCTCCCTCTGCTCTCTTTCAACCTGTTCTGTGCTTACCTTTTCTTGCTTAACTTGTTCTGCATTGACTCCTTTTCCAGCGGCCTGTTCAGTTTTAGTTTGCTTTAGTCTTTCCTGGCCAGTCTGCTCAGTGTTTGCCAGTTCAATTTTTATGAGTTCTTCTCTTGACCTCTCTGCTTCAGCTTGTTCTGCTTTGACCTGCTTACCCTGCTCGTCTCTCTTGTTCTCGGCCGCTGTTTCCTCTGTAATATTTCTTGGCTCGTCCGTTACTTTCTGTGCTCTTATTTGTTCAGCCTTTGTCTGCTCCTCTCTGGCACACTCTGGTTGTTTTTCTCTGGACTTTTCTGTCTGGCCTCCTTTTCTTATCTCCTTTTTAATATGTTCGTCGTTGGCTTGTTTTACACTCTCCTGCTTAGATAGTTCTGATTTGGCCTGTTCTGTTTTGACTTTCTCTGAACCAGTCTGCCCTGCTAAAATTAACTTGGCCGAGTCTGCTTTGGGCTGCTCCACTTGAGCCCATTGCTGAGCTGTTGCCAGCTCTGCTTGGGCGTGTTGCACTTTTACATGTTCTGGCATGACCTGTTCAGCTTTGACCTCAGCAAACTGTCTGTTTTTCATCTGCTTTGCCATTATGGGGGCAGATATATTGTCAGGGTTAGATAATGAATGTTTCTGTGTATTATATTCAAACTGTGGTTTAGCTTCTAATGGCTGGAGACTTTGCATTTCATGGCCCTTTTGATATGACATATGTTTCATCTGACCTGTTTCTTGCACGGCCACAGGCTTCTCTTTAGTAGAGTATAACGCATGTTGACGTATGTATTCTTGATCAGTGTATCTGTTGTAATTCTGTGTCGAATAATTTTGTTTTGCTTCATTTTCCTCACTGTGTCCAGAATACTGTTGAAGTACATTTGCTTCCTTGAATGCAAAAGGCTGCTGTTGTCCATAATATGCAGGGTTTTCTACAGTGTTATTACTGAAAGATGATTGTGGCAGCAGGTTTGAAATGTTAGTGTTGACCAAATCAGCTTTTTTATGAGAAGGTGCTCCAACTCCCAAGTTCTCCCTTAGTGCCGTTTTCTTAAGTTCTTCATTTATATTTGGCTGATTTTCTTGTCTTGTCTTTTCCATCAGAGCCTCTTGTTTCCATGGAGATGTTGCTGCTCTCAGACTCAGCTTTTCGATGTCTTGGCTGTTTGTCTGTCTCCACATATCCTGTGAGGACACATTATTGTAATCATGTTTGTTGTCCTCCAACTGCTCATATCTATCCACCTTTGTGAATACCCTTCCCACTGTTTCATTAAAAGGTTGTTCAATATTTGCCTTGCTTGTTAAATAGTCTTTGTTTTGATTGTTGTCAACATTTAACCTAGATGTTTCAGCGTAAGATGCTTTAAGTCTGTATACATCCCCCGCAAAATTCCCTACATTATCTATCACTCCTTGCTTATAGGGAACAAATGATGCTAAATCTTCATTGAGATTCTGTCCATTAGCCAGCTGATTGCTGGTGTAATTTTCAGGTATGAAGCCAGTGAACCCAGAGTGATGAACCATCTGACCTTGCATCTGAGCTGTCTGATAATCACTGAACGTGTACTCTGGGTAGTGGCCTGTATGTGCTGCTGTAGGTTGAGAATGTAGCATTGTAAGAGGCAATCCAGGGCTGTGGTACTGGTTTAAAGCAGCATTTGTCCTGCTTGATTCTTCCAACTGGAGAAATTGACCGTCTGGCTCTGGAAAATCAGGCATATCTATCACAGTCTCTCGAGGCTCTTGGATATAGGGCTGTTTGTTTTTATCCAGTGTCTCCAAGCCTTTAAATTTGGGAGGACTGTAGGTGCTTTTCACTCTTTTCCTGTTGTCTTTGAGATTGAAGAGTAGGCTCGTGGCTCGGGATTTGTAGCTGGACATCCTAATGTCAGGAGTGGCTCCTCTGCTTTCAGCTCGTACTGGAGCGTGTTCCACAGGTAGAGGAGAAACTCCATACTGCTGGAAGTCTGATGTCACTGCTTCTTGATGTGCATGAACTAAAGGTGTGAGCAGCTGGCTGATGTTAAAGGGAGTAGTGCTTGTGTTAACATTTGGTGCCACTGCTACTGGATTGTTGCCAAAGGGAATCAAATTATCATGGCTGCAGAGTACTCCTTGTTGATTTTCTATCACCCCTGCTGTGATATTTTGCTCTGACATCATTTTGATTTTTTGCTGGAGGGCTTTGACCGAGCTGATGGTGTCCCGGACGCGTCGAGACATCTCAATGGTAGGGGATGCCGTTGATGGGCGCTGGGCCGGAAGTCTGTTGGCTCCTAGACTCTGGCTTCTCTTCCTGTGCGGATAATGACCTGCCAACTCTGACTCGCAGCGTTTCTCCACAGCTGAAGCTTTCTGCAACATTGTAGATGTCGAGGTGGAGCGTGGAGGGTTTGGAGGAAGCACAGGTGCCATGTTACTCCTCGGGTGTCTGATACCTCGATAAGGACCCTGCGGTTGATCGTGGAGGGAGAGCTCATTGTACATTGGTGTTTCATACCATTTAGGGAACTCAGAGCAGTGCATAAATCCTGAGACTTCCCCTTGTTGGAAGGGAAACCTATTATGGTTCCTCCATACCTTGAAGGGACTAAACTCACTGTGTATAAAGAAGTTAGAGTTACAGTTGACCTGAGCAGACATGCTGTGTTTACTATGGGAAGATCTCATAAAAGAAGATGCAGAATTGTGAGACATGTGAGTCACTGCTGCTACTTCAGAGGAATAGAAGTCGGCATCTCTGGACGAGAATGGGCCAGCAGAGGGGAAGTGACCACTATGAAAATTTTGCTGGTATGATGTAGAGAATTCAGAAAGTTCCTGTTGGATACTCATCAGAGCAGATTTATCCCAGCTTGTCTCATCATTCCAATCTCTAAGTTTATCATCCATTCCCGTCACATCCCTGTGACCATCAGAGTTAAAAGCTCTGATTAGAGAAGAAACTCTGGAGCGGCTTCTGCGTTGCTGTGAATTCAACTCTGTGGCTCCATTGCTGAGGAAGGAGAGCTGTTCTTCCCTCAGAGACTTTTCCTGTTGAGAGGTTTCCACAAAGGAGTGCTGGAATGTAGCAGAAACCCTCCCCTGTGTCCTTTCCCCATAAACCTCCCACTGTGGATCTCTGTGGATCTCTGCGCTATACATTCCTCCATGGATCCAGTCCTGACCATACTGCTGCATCCGGAGGCTGAAGTTTTCATGTGCAGCTCTCTTAAGTTCCTCCCTCTCTCTGTCCCCTCCGCCTCTGTCTTGACCACCATGACTAAAGGCCATCTGTCTGTCTCTCTGGGTGCAGGGCGAGGACAAACTGAGGTCCGAGTCATTATAAACGGCTTCATCTCCGATGCAGAGACTCCTGAATGCTCTATCTGTCAGATTGCTGACCTCGCGGTCATTCTCATCCAGGAAGGACCCACCACTGGAGGTGTCGCTGTACCCTCCATCGCTGTGCTTTCGATGTCCGCCGCTCTTTCGGCCTGAGCGGCGCTTCTCAACTGAGGTCATGATGCAGACTTGCTAACAGATAACTCTGTCTTCAGTTGTTCAGTCATTCATGCAAATATAGACTTCAAAATTATACACTCTGCCTGCTGCTGGAACTGCAGTTTGGGGCCCCCGTTCAGGATTTTGTAAAACCAGTAGCTCTTAAGGCATTGTGCGTTTTAGCTGGCCTCTTTCCAAAGCAATCCTGGAATATGTCATTTTCCTAAAGAAGAAAAGAAGGGAGAATCAGTCTGGACCTGACCATACAGTCACATACTGTTTCATAAGTGGTGTAGTAAGGGTATATGCAGGTATACAGCATATACCTCCTTATTGTTCAGCTGGCATTGCACATACCCACATCTAAAGCCCCTCTAATATGCATCAATCAGTATTGACCTACAAGTCTTATTGGCTGGTACTTGTTGCTTTTGTTGGTAGGGTTAAGCATGGAAGAGAACCAGGGAGGGGGTTTAAATGTACACTCAGTACTCTGTTAGCAGGACTTGAGCGATCTTTGCTTCCCTAAAGTTAGCGTGTAAACATGCATTGACGACTGACGAATTCAATTTTGATATATTTTATTTTAAAATATCCACTGCATCACTCTGAAGGTTTCTTAAAAACATTCACTGACTGAAATGTCATGTTTGAATAAATCCATGCCTTGGCCTTGTGTTGCAGTGAGTAATGTTCAAACTGCTGCTTTACACATGTTGTGAATTTGATAAAGTTGCACAGAACTTTGCTCTATCTGTTGCAAATCAGCTCTTCTAACTTCACAAAAATATTTAAATGTGGATGGACAAAGAAAAAAGCAACACTTCTTATAAAATGCACAATTATGTTGCTATCTCACCTGTAGACTGTGGGACATTATCATTTGCAAAATCTGCTGCTCCTCTTGGGCTAATGTTAATGTCATAATGAGTCTTCCTCCATGACGTCAAACAGCAGAAGTTTAGTGACAATGTGCAAATACTACTGGTCCATTTATAGGTGGACTAAATATGCAAGAGTTGTCTTACATGTCACTGTTTATAACAGACGGCGTTAATCCTTTGCTGGATGGGCCACTCCAAAAAAAAAATTGGCCATAAATTAAGCTTAACTTCTTCAGGCGCGACTACGCCACTACCCCTAACCTTAAACCATTTTATAGCAGTGACAACAGTTTTAGCTTGATACGTTTGATGTATTTTAACCTTGATCTAAAACCTAAAATAGACATCATGCTTTCTTTTATGTGAGATTATTTTAAAAGCTGCAACTTACTTGTTGGGGTGCTTAATTTACGATAGATGGCCTTAGTAACAAACACTTTTCCTTTGCATTAAGCAGCAATGTACTGTATGTGGTTCTGAAAACAGCTCCGTAAATCCTTCCACTCAATCACTGTGACCTTCAGAGCCATGTTGTGAATAAAACTACACTGTTGCTAGGCACAGCAATGACAGCTTCACGTGAGTTATTTTGGGTAATCAAGATGCATCCATACAAATTTAGATGAGCTCACACACACACATGCAAACATACAGACACTCTCTGTCTATGATTAATAGCCAGATATGGACGGGAATTTAATAATAATCAGAGGTTGGAATTCACATATAATGTCAGATTTTCAATTTGTTAATATTAATACGAGGTTATATGAGTTAGACTAGCAGCTTAGATTTTCTCAAGCTGTTTCTCTTTGAGTGAAACAGTGAAAATGTCTGGTTAAGACCAGTCAAGTGCGGCATATTGAAAGCTAATCTTGTAGTAAAACCCCTTTGGTTTTACTAGAGTAAAGAGAGAGCAGGTGGAAAGCAAGCTAAAATTACCTTAAGTAGAGGAGCTGCTAATTTGAGATTTTAGGGGTAAAATTAGAAAGTTTACCATAGGTGAAGTATATAATCTGTCACCTAAAGGGTTTCAGTGTGACATTCAAGTCACTCAAAACAAACTGTATTTGAATTAGAATACTTGGAAAATAAAATAACACTAGACATCAAGCATGCTTTTAAAAATTTTTTTTTTTTTAGAAATCTTCTGGTTTGCAGATGTTAAACAGCCAAGGCCACAGGTGTGGCTACAACATATTTACATCTGTTGACACAATG